ATGCAAGCTAGCTCTGCTGGTCCGCGTCGATCTAGATCTACACGCCACAAAAAGGAAACTTGGCGGAGTTGACTCCGCGAAACGAGTTATATTTCGTGTGGGTAGCTTGGCGTGTTTACGATGGGCGGTGGTGCTGGTGGCTGGTGGCTGGGCTGGTTTAGTCGAGACGCGGCGGTGCTGAGTCGTGGGTTGCAGGGCGACAAGGCTGGAAATTTCTACTGTGAGATGATGGAGGATTTTTGCTTAGTGAATAAGTTTTACGCAGTTGTGAAGTATCGAGCAGGGAAGCTCAAAGGAAATGGATGGGTGGATGTGTGTTACTAGGTAGACGTGGCCAAGTATTCACAAAATTGCGTCACTCCAAAGTATATGCCTTGCGTTTACAACTTTATACAGCATGATTACATGGAAGAATCACAGAGTGGCAAGCTGACACAAAAGTATGAAGATGGAGATCATTCAATTAAAACTATTCACAGAGGCAAAGACGAACCCGTCCTTGTCCTCACCAGCTTCTCACTGGCCTGGGGGTATAAACTTCCTCCCCTTTTTGCAAATAATCCAAAAAATGTTCAAAGAATAGTGGGCCCTCTCTCGCAAGAGCAGGACGTAGTTTCCGGGTATCAAGATGTTACTTTTATGTTTGTTGATGACCGGAGGTAGGCGCCTGGCTCCTCGATGGTTGTGTGGATATGTCGTTATGAAGGGAGAAAACTCATGTCGTGAAAAAAAGGGACTTTTGTTGTTGGTGATTGTACAATGGGAGATGATAGACCTCCGTGGAAACGCCGTGCTGATGGAAATGCTGAGATGATGAGAGATTCAGAACCAGCTCTCATGTTGAAGATGGGTATGCAAGAAGTGAAGGTTGGGCGCAAGGAGAGGCGGCAGTGACTCTCTTATTGGTGAGAGAATTGCCTGCTCAGGCGCTGCCATGCGGACTCCATGCTGCGGCGGACGCCGTCCTTCTCGCTCTCTACGCTCGAGGAGCTGGAAGTGGAGGAGGCGGAGTTCTGGCGTTGGGATCGGGGCTTCATCTCGTCGACGAGGTTGCCGGCACCGCCGCGACCGATGTGGTAGACGGGTGCTTGTTGGGTGCGGAGGCGTTCTTGCTGTTGGAGTTCCTCGTCGAAGCTGAAGATGGCGCGCTCAGTCTTCTTCATATTGCCAGCACCGCCACGGCCGGTGGCGTAGAAGGCGTTGGTGGGTGGTGGAGGTAGCTTGGTGCGCGAAGCTGGACCTGAGGCTGTGGGGCCGGGGGTGACCTCAGTGGGCTTGATGCGCATGGCATTGCCGGCGCCGCCGCGGCCAGAGTACATGTAGGCACCGGCGGATGGGTGAGGCTCGTTGATGTGGAAGCTGACCATTTTGATTGTTGGTAGTGAGGTTGGTTGAGTGTTTGGTTGTTGGGAGCAAGTCAAGTGGCGACTGTCGTCGATATAAATCTGGGGTAGCGTTGATAGTAAGAGGTAGCTCCGGGAAGATCTGTAGTGGTTGATGATCGTTGGTACTCAACAAGACCTACTGGGGTAGAGGGTTTATATAACAAACAGCGTCGCACTGATCACGATCCCCTCTTACTACTGGAATGCAAGGCAAGAAAACCTCTCACGCGCAAGCTTTTTTTCGGCGCCACGAAACGAACCAGACGCGCACGAGGCCAGCTCAGAAGCCTTGGAAGTCTGAGCGACACTTTGCAGTTAACGGCAGTCAATGGATCATGCGTCCCCTAACAAGGCCAGTGTAGGAAATTTCTCAGCACCATGAATAGTTTACCATTACCCCCTCAAAACGCGGTGATTGGCTGGAGCGAGTTTCTCGGGGGTAAGAGATTGCCAGGGGAAATGGTCAGGTGCAGCGGAGAACAAGGAGCGAAGCGATCGAGCCCATGACGCTATCGAAAGCCCGGAGCTTGGCTCCGCAGCAACCGCAGCGCACATGGCCGAAGCGCCGCCTGTGAGGTGTCTGACTGAAAATTTGACGCAGAAGACGCCATGCGCAAACTGGGGCCTTGTGCCAGCTTCCGCGACGGCCAGCGCACGCTTCCCGCCGGAGACTGTGGAGGCGGGAAGAGATTTTTTTGCGGTGCTGCGTCTCACCTCTGGCTCGCGTCATGCATACGCCGCATACGCTCTGCGCTTGCCATCGGGTGCCTGGATCAGAGGAGAACCGAGATGGAGACGCTGCAGATTCTGACGCTGCCTGTTTGATGCTGGTGTTGCTGTTTTGATACCCATTGCATGCATCGATATCCATCCTTCTGCAAGGCACAGTGAGCTTCATCGTTGGTGGCGTCTTCCAAAAAAGCAAGTACACCTTCGGCCGCTCAATTTTTCGCTCTGCCAGCTGACCGCGCACGTTCAGCTGGCCGTCCGAGCCTCCGGACGTACCGTCGTGCATGACGTCGAGCATCGTGAAGTCTAGGCGTGGGCGGCTCTGTGCTTGCGGTCTGCGGTGTCGAACAGGTACGTGGCCCCCTGTTGTGGCTGGCCCTGTGATCAGGTACCTGCAGTGCTCGCGATCGCTGCAGCCGGGGTGATGCTATTTGCGCATGTCATGTCGCCATTGTGTGTAATATGCGTTGCACATTACGTGGAGTGAAGCATCGGTGATTTGACCGCAGTCACACCATAGCTGACGCGACTAGACAAGACCTCACGATGCTTGGCACACCCATTCGCCCAAACGTTCTGGCTGTAACTTTCCGTGTCGCCCTCCGTGTGCACATTCGCAGGTGGATTAATTGTGGTATTCTGTACGCTTCATAATCATAGGGGTATTCCAAAGCGCTCACAAACGCCTGCCATGCACGGGCTCTCCCCTCGTACACCTTACCTAACCGACACTCTCGAACCATGCTCGCGCTTAAGTAACAGAAACGTACTCGAATGCGGGGAAAGCAGCATGCTACAGTAGCTCTCCCGTCTAGAAGCTACGGCTACCGGCTGACACGTAGATCTGCCATGACCCAACCAAGCGCGCAGCCCCCAGCTTTCTTCCTTCGTGGTTGGCGCGACCCCAGGTCTTGGGACCTCATTCCATGACTAACTGCAACTGCGCTACCCATGCAACCACGCAGCTCCTTCTCGAAAGATGATGCGGAGGCGGGAGAAACGGGTGCGGAGTAAGTGCTGCTGCCAAAGACGACGTGTCGGTGCTTATGCGAATTTGGTGTGGATGATGTCTGGGTTTTCCTGCCATTCGTCTTTCTCTACCCACATCTGCAGGCACGTGTCAGTTCACCGGCTACAGCCTCGTTGGGAATAAGAAACTTACCTTCTTGAAGGTGCTGAGGCCCGCAAGAATGCTGCCACCGGTCCACGTGGTGTAGATGCGCTCTGGTGGTGCTAAGATCTTGATCCTCATGTCCTTCACCGCCAGTCTTTGCACCTCATGAAGCAGCCTGTTTCCGAATCCCTTTGTCAATGTGGAGCCCCCGGAGAGCACAATGTTGCCATAAAGCGCCTTTCGGAGGTCCATGTCGGTTCTGTGTATCGCCTCGACGACAATCTGGTGCACGCCAGGGTACTCCAGACCAATGATCTCGGGATTGAAGAGTATCTCTGGTGCTCGGAAGCGTTCCGCTCCGATCTAGACTGTCAGCTCGTGTACGATGAGTGTCGTCATTTGCACTCACCTTTATCTTCTGGCCATCAGGTAATGCGTAGTCGACGCTCTTGCCCTCTGATCTGGACGAGCCTGACCAGTCCTTCTCCTCCTTGGCCGGGTCGAGTGCCACGTATCCTGTTGCCTCTTTGATGTTCTTGACCGTCTCCTTCTCAGCGCTGGTGTGGAAGACGCGGCCGCTTTTCCTCAGTAGCTGCTGGAAGTGCTCTGTAACATCTCGGCCTGCCACGTCTATCCTCCTGATGCTGTTGGGAATCGCAAAACCCTGGAAGACTGGCACTGCATGCGAAACACCGTCTCCCGAATCTAGAACTAGACCAGTTGTCTTGCCGGATGCGTATAACGAAAGGACGGCTTGGACCGATGTGTATAAGGCGGGCACATTAAACGTCTCAAATAGAATCTGGGCAGCCGTATCGCGGTTTTCTCGGGGGTTAAGCGGAGGCTCTGTAAGGAGTACAGGGTGCTACAAAGACAGATAGTCAGCTTGATGCCCCTCAATCGCAGCAAATGGCAATCTGCCATGGCCCAACTCACATCTTCGCTGACGGTCCTCAGGCCTTCTGTATAGACATATTGCCATATCCTCTCCATGTCGTCCCAGTCTGTGACAATGCCATGCTCCAATGGGTAGTTGATCTTGAAGAGCCCCCTATATTGTTGTGCTTGTGGTCCTATGAATACGTCGCCCTCCAATGCGCCTGCCATTGTCCGCACATGCTTCGGCCGTCCTACGTATGACGGGAAGAAGCATTTTGGCACATCCTCGCCTGCAAATCCAGCTCTGATGGTTCCACTGCCGTTGTCTATCACGATCGGGGCATTGTGTAGTCGGGAGCCCATGGCGGGGTTGAGAATAGCGATGGGGTCGGGGGTGCGTAATTCGAGATATCTATCCGGCGCGATGAAGCTAGAGAGGCGGTGGTTTCGGCGAGGCGAAGAGCTGGTGTCGTGGCGGCTTCCCCAGGTTGGAGCTCCTTCTGAATCGCGAAAGTTCACGACGCGCTTCGGCATTGACGACAGGGGTACCCTCACCGCATCACGTGCCGGCGCTCGCACCTCCAAGAACACGCATCTGCTTCTGCGCATCATCTACATCGACCACGATTACAGTTTGTGCTCCGTCTGTGTTCCATTGTACTATTGTATATAGTTAAGCGATACAATCACAGCATTCAGCATTGTTTCGCCCTCAGCTGCGCGCTTCACTCACCCCGCATCAGCACTATCTAGGCAACTACCCGTGGACGATTACAATGAACATTATGCTACGCAATATACTGTCTACTACGTCCTCATGCCTACGGCCTACCCTCTCTAAACTTTTTGCAGCTCTACATACATTTTAACTACCTACTAGACCTCCTAGAAGCATGTCCTTAGTAAAGCCTAACCCTGCTATGCAGGCCGCTGCGGCTAGTTTCTCCTCTGTTATACAGAAACGCAAAGATGCCTTTTACGAGCTAAGAAAGCAAGCTTACTATCGCGTCGCACCTGACGGCAATTGGACGCCAGCAACATCCGATCGAGCGCTCCCAAAAGACGAATCAGATACACTTCTTCATCCCAGGAAGCTTCGTTTGATATCCTGGAATATCGATGTCCTCGTTCCGTTCGCAGAAGAACGAATGAGCGCTGCACTAGATCATTTGCACGACTTAGTATCATCGACACCGCCAGAAATCGCGATCGTCATATTTCTACAAGAGATGGGAGTCTCAGACATGGAGCAGATACGAGACTCAACCTGGGTCAAGCAACGCTTCAACCTCACAGACATCGACTCACAAAACTGGCTGAGCTCTCACTACGGGACGACCACACTCGTCGATCGGCGAATGCACATAGACTCTGTGTTCCGCGTTCCGTGGTACAGCAAGTTCGGACGAGACGGCCTGTTTGTGGATATCAAACTATACAACTGCATTCGTCCAGATCTTCCGGTGAAACTGCTACGGCTATGTAACACCCATTTCGAGTCTCTGGTTGCTGATCCGCCTGTCCGCCCCATTCAGATGGCAGCCGCAAAGCAGTATCTCAGCCACCCGGATGTCGAAAGCGCAATACTAGCTGGCGACCTCAATGCTATCGAGCCCTTCGATCGCTCTCTGCACACAGATAATGCGCTCGAGGATATGTATCTCTCTATTGGCGGGCATAAAAACGCTCCCAGTAATACCGCTGTCTTCGGCAACCCCGTTGTCTACGATGAAAATAATGTCCCTCAAAACGCCAATCGTCCCGGTGAAGAAGACAGCGATGCCGGGTACACCTGGGGTTACCAGTCCCCAAAAGACATGAGAGATAGGTTTGGATGTAGTAGGATGGACAAGATCTTGTTCCAAGGGTGGTTAGGTCCTTGGAAGTTCCAAAGGATCGGTATGGGCGTCAAAGTCGCAGAGGAGCATAGACAGATGATGAAGGAGGCGGGCGAGCTAGATTGGGTCTCAGATCATTATGGCGTCATGGGCGATTTTCTGCTCACTTATCGTGGACAGTTGAGGAAGTCTGAACTATGACAGCAAGTATGATGTTGGCGATGTCGCGGACGCTCTTTATCAACACCTTACCAATCTCACCAAATGCTGATCTACCTTCAGTGGCCCTTTCAGGTTCATCGAGTTCAAGCTTAGGCCTACTATATTGACGCTTCTGAGTATTCCTTGTTTGACTTCTCTGGTTCACAGCGACTCAGAAGAGTACCGGGTGGGCCACCCATAGCTTCTGCAACCCCAAGAATACATTCAATGCCTACAAACACTCTTCGAATGATGCAAAGTAGTAATTCCAAAGCGATGAAACCTTCAATTATCGCTGGTATGCTAAGTAACATGAGGTACACTTCGGCTAAACAGCTACATGTACGGATCTAGCCCAACCCAGGAACTCTTGAATTCGTATTCTTCTTCAAATGGTGCTGTCACAACCAAGTTGAATCGTCTAAAAAGGCCTTGTAAACAGCAGCAGTCTCTCACCCATCCGACAAGCAATCTTTCCACTCCTCATCGACGTTGAATACTACATGGACGTAATCATTCAAGTGATAACTCGAATCATCGAGCCGCATCTCTATCCAACACTCTACATGCTCGACGGAGTTTTGGATGAAGTCGTGCAGCTCAGGCGTAGCTTCCGGCTGTGTGAGGTCGCGCAGGATATCCTGCATACGGCGGCTGCAAAAACGGCTCTGCGATAGCGGGACATCGCGTAGCGCGAAGGCTATGTTAACCTGTGGAGCGCTTCTGCAGAGATTTATGGCCTCTATGATATCCCTTTGATCTGATGATGCGCCCCGAGATTCATACCACTGGTCTGGCAGTTGGACGATGACGTTTCCGCGAGCGATCTTGGGGTCTGCACCACTCGAAGAAATGAAGGTCCTGATGTAAGAAAGCGAGTCCTGGCACTGGATATGAACCTTAGTCTGCGCCCTGTGAATAGGCAAGTACTCTGTTCGGAGCTGGCGGCAGGCTTGTGTGAGACCGAAAAACTGTCGTTCAGTCGTATTGGTCTGCTCGTGTTGCTGGGCGGGCTTGTGGATCAGACGAACATCGCGTGGGTCTTGTGCATAGTTGTAGACACAATTGCGGAGCTCTGTCAACATATGTTAGCTCATTGTCCTCCAACTGTTTCTACTCCTCTGGTGCTAGCTCTGACTCACCTCCGGGGAGCTTTAGAAGGGGGCTCGTAGGTACGCTGTTGACAGACATATCTGTTGGCTGCAAGTTTATGACTTTGGTGTTGAGGTAGCAGAGATTCGAGAAGGAGATAAATATCGGGCTTGTGATACTCATGTGGCGCCAAGAAGCGCTTTCGATGGGAAAGTTGCTTTATTGCCTAGTGGCAAGGCTGCCTAGATGTACCTCGCATGTGCTTCGATGTGAATGCATTCGACTACCATAATCTACCGAGGCAGATGTTGCGGCCTCGAAATACCCCAATGAATACATCGGGTAGAGTGAAATAATGTAGTCAGAAAAAAGGAAGCCAAAAGGTACACAAGGCGTGCCTGGACCTCCATTATCGAGGTAAATTGCAACTGCAGAAGCTACATGAGCCCTAATAGCTCTCATTCATCAGCCAGACAACTTCTGAATACATACAAGCTTCGGCGACCGCCATGCTATGTCAGTTTCCTGACTTCATTCAGGCTTCTCGTAATGATCATGAGAGAAACTGCAGCGGCCTTGGATTGCCCCAGTGATCGCTTGGGTTGAACCTCCAAGCACCCTTATGCTTTCGCGCAAACCAATATGCGTTCAGGTACGGGATAAAGAACGGGACAGGTGGGAAGTTTCCACTACCAGGGTAGCTTCTGTCGACACAGCCAAGTACCAACGGGATGACAAGATTCTAGAGTCGCGAGTTATCAGTTGACTTTCGTTCGGCAGGCAGCTAGTGAGAATGTCGGATTACGCACCGGATCAGCAGTTTTTGCACCTTCATCGGCCACTTCTTTCATCGCCTCCATTACCTTCAGCCCGTCACACTTTTCGAGTCGTATCAAGGTATCGATCTCGTCATGTAGATGCTGAGTGAGAATGGGTGCGAATTCATCGATCAGCCTCTTCAGCTCCGCCGCGTCATACGTTCTCTCTCCAGCCCTAACTTCTTCGGCCCACTTCACCAGCCCTGCAATTTTCGGCTCAAACTCATGATGCTGGTCCACGTTTCCTCCCATAATGCCTTCCCAGCCATCTATTCCAGCCTCTCTTGCGATCTGCTCTATCTTTGGAAAGAACATAGCCTCTTCAAGGGAGTGGTGGTGGTGCACGGTATCCGCCCATGCGGTGACGTATAGCATAAGATCCGCTACATCGCCAGGGAGTTGAATGAAGGGCGCTTGGTGATATACGGAATTTAGAGCGCGGAGCAAGACGTTGTGAACATTGGCCATCTCTGTGGCGACACTGAGAACACCGGCATTCGTGCATGCTGGTGTGTTTGGTTGACCGGGAATGTTGAGGAGGGCGAATGGTGTATCCGCCCATGTGTTTGCTTCTGCCTTGGTGTTCATGCTGAAAGTTGATGGTAAACAAGTAAAGGGTGATGAGGGTGAATGTCGAAGAAAGCTACGCATGAACGGCACATCGCTGAAGCCTAGGTATAGCCTGGCCTTCGAGGCTGATGTGCGATAGGCGCTGCTTACTGCGCGTACGCGAATCTGTATGGCTGAACGGTGTACGCTCCAGATTTTCTTCTTCGGGTTAGCAGGCAATCCTCTTGCCAGCTGGCGTAAGCAGTACGCTCCTTATGGACAATGCGCGAAAGAGTATCGGAATCTTACACCCCTAATGCTAATGACTGCGCATTCATGTTCTTAACGCCTCGGGGATTGAAAAGGATTGCGCTCGGTGGGATAAACGGATTTCTAGTCAGGACTCTGCGCAGTACATCTGCTGATGCCGTGCTGCTCTGCCGTGCTGCTATTGCTACTGCGCAGGCACATCGCGACTGCTGGACACTGGCACAGGTGCTGTTTGTTGAGTGTCTAGGCATTCATGACCGTACACCTCTGGTAAAGGTCGCAGCGCGCATCTCTGGTCTGAGACTGCGCAACTTCTGAGAGGCTTTGAGAAGATTCGGCTTCGACTGCGCTGGATGCTTTGGTGTTGGGAAGCCCTGGCATTCGCGCAACAGGGAAATGAAGGGCGAACTAGAGCCTTGGCAGATGACATAGCTTCTCGGTCCCTATCCTGAGCAACTTCACGGCGGCGTGGCACCTCGTTGTTTCATCAATACCACCGAACAAGCATCCTCCCGACTGCTCGCCGTAATCCGCGCATAATGACGTTGTGAGAACAGCGCCCCCAAAAGTCACTATGCGTAAGGGCAGAGGGTGTGGAAGCGCAATCGCGGAAGCACGCGCGAAACATCTGCAATCCAATGAACAATTGAGCAGCGAGCTCATAAGAACGATGTGTTCTTCGAAGAAGGTTCCACGCGCCTCATGGCACGGACGGTAGATCTGCCGATCGTTTGATCGAGAGAGATGACCCCACGCGTCCGCCATTTCAACTCACCAGCTTCACCAAAATTGATTTGAAGGGACCACAGCCATGCAGACGACCCTGTTTTGTTTCAATAAAGTCTAGACCTGTTTTTGTAACCTTGTTTCTTGTCCACAGGCAGACATCATGCAGGGCCAATCCCCTGTACCGCTCGCAAAAGAAGGAAACAAAGAGATGTCTGTAACGGTCCGTCACCCACAGGGGGTCCCTCATTTCCTAACTCCACACCTTGCATCACCGTGCTCCCGACCCCACGGTGATCACTTACAACTCTAATGCTTAGCGTATGACATAGAGAGAGGTAATATAGAAGATGGGCCGCTCGCTCACATTCTTCCCTCGATAACCGACCATTCACAACACCGAAGAACTCACTGCTTTGGCGCATTGACTTGTAAAGACTCCCCTCCACCTGTCTTTCCCTCCAGTATCGACAAGCGCCAAGTTCTCCCATTACCGACACTCAACTCGCTGTACCACATCTTCTCCACATCCCTACCTTCCACGTCGGATCTCTCAGCCAGAATGTACACCCAAATGCTCTTCAGCGCGTTTCTAGCGACGGCGCTCGCGGCACCGCTCGTCCAACGGCAGTCACCCAAGACGGGGGCCAGTGACAGCTGGCAACCCGCATCCGACACAATCACGACATGCGACCCCGACTCCCCAAAATTACTCAGCTTCACAGCTGATCCCAAACTCGAAACTATCCTTAACAACGCCTGCGCCGCCATGATGCCCGGTTGCGCCTATCCAGACCGCATCCCCACCGGTACGCTGTGTACCGCGACTGTTGACTACCCACTCAACGGCGACAAGAACAGCACACAGGATGCCAATGTCGTGGGTAGCGATGGTAACAGAATTACCGACTATGCTGTCAGATGTAAGAAACTCTTATCCAATTCGCAGCATCCAGACGTACTAACGAAGGTTGCAGTTGATGTTACCCCAGCTTCCCAACCTGAGGACTCTGCTGGTGTCTTCTGGAAGGTCGAGGATTGCTATGGCTACTTTGCTCGCATGCTTCAGAAGTCGGGCAAGGAGGGATGTCACAACGACGTCGGATCTGGTTCCGGTAATGTGACGGTTGGCGGTGATTCATCACTGGCTGGTACCATCTTCAAGGTCTCCATTGTTCCTACGGAGAGCTTGCAATAGCTGTCCATTTTTACTTTCTTGTTCATTTTTTAGGGTATTGCTGAGCTTTGGCGTCACGATACATGGATCAAGCGCTGTGCGCATTGGCGTTCTATTGTAGCAGTCCCGTTGCTATTCATTTTATGATTGTCACGCTTCACGTTAGAAATTGGTGAGGTGTGCATCTTCTACATTGTTCCTGCCACACCAGTGTGAAATTGTAGCAGCCGCATTCACTATGAGTTTCGGCAAGTTCGACTGCTTTGGACGTGCCGGTACGCCGTCCTTTCCACCCAACGCCTCCAGATCACTCTCACTTGATCAGCAGCTTAACTCATTAGCTTACTCAGGATTCATACACAGTATCGCCTTAGTTACAAAACGCAAATCCTCTCAGCACAATGGCGCACGATTACCGCTCACCACTCGACAACGCGGACGAAGAGCTGGTAAAGTACAAGAACCCGTACCTCAAAGGCATGGGAGATCAGAGCATATGTACCATTTGGCCGACCGATGCACCTACAGACTACATACGCAGCGCCACCGTCTTCCTCGAAGCCGAATACGCAAATCCCGATTCGCCAATCCACCAAGACCCTCCGCTACCCATCCCACCAGATCCCGACGACAACTCACTCAGACCCCTCAAAACCGACGACGATGTCTTCGACGCTGCTCGTATATGGCTCAAATGTCCTCTCGATCACGCCATCGTGATGAGATATCCTACTCAACTCGTGCAACTCAATGGGTGGGTGGGCTACAGTCGGGTAACACTCTATTATGAGAAGTTCATGGGGACACACCAACCGAGATTGCTCATGACTATCAAGTGGCTGTGTCCAAACACACTGGGTGGCATCGTTGAAGGCGACACGATCGATCGGCAGTGGGTGGACGAGCCAAAGGCCTACAAATGCTCTTACGTTGCTCTTTGCGATTACGACAACCTCGTTCTTTAAGGTTCGGAAACGTCTTGGGGATTGAAGGAGTACGGGTTACCGCCGTTGCAAGAGATAGTATGCGTTTAGCGTTCTTGGGATTCCTACTCGAAGCATGCGATGCGGTATTGGGTGAGCCAGGTAGTGGCCTGTCTTGATTTGGGTCTCTTTTCGTAACCTCACACCCTACTAAAGGACTTCAGTAATCGATAAATGGCTAGGCAGATCAATGATAGCTATTAGGTCAATAACAAACCGTTTTCTGTACGAGCCCTGGGACGGTCACGAAGCTCGCAACGCCTTTGCATGATCTAATGACGAAACCTAGCTTAGGAGGCTTCCATAGCATCCTCCATAGGCGAAACCAAGCAAATATGGTAGTGTCCAGTGCATGCGACGAAGGCGGTGATGCGGCTCCATGCCAAGTCGGCGCATACGTCATCACCAGCCCTCGGTCGCTCACCCCTGTCCTCAAAACACCAACCTCGTTACTAAACAACAGCTACGGTTGCCGACAGCCGCAACATCTCGTAATGAGAAGTAGAGCCGGACACCTCCGCTACCACATTTTGACCGAGGAAAAGAGTCCGCATGCTTGGCAACACGTGTGTACCGATGCGCGTTCACGATGGTTCCTGTCGGTCCGGGAAAGGTACCGGCGACGTGCACGCATGTGTCCGAGTCTGGACTGTTTATGAAAGCGTGGTACTGTGTAGTGGCTTGGGAGTGACGTGCCACCAGCCACAGTTTTTTTATGTCAAGTAGAGCAGGCACGTCCTCAATCCCTGCATTGTCTACACCATACACCATAATCTCTAATCCCGACACAAGGTGCAAGCTTGATCAAAATGCGCGTCGCCAGTACCGTCCTCGCTCTTTCCTCCGCCGCATCAGGCTTTATTCACCCTCGTCAAGCCTCCTACAACGAGACGAGCTCTACACCCAATGTCGCGGCCGCACAGTATGATGGAACCTGTTTCTACCCCGTTCCTGATTCCAAGTTCAACCTGCACGCGTATCTTGGTACCTGGTATCAAGTCGCTGGTACACCATTCGGTCCTACAGCCGGCGCGCGTTGCGTGAGCGCAAATTACGAACTCAACGTGCGCTTTTTCGTGTATGCGAATCTTTGGACGGTAATTGACAGCTGATGCAGGACAATGGTACGGTGCGCGTCACCAACACCGCGACTGTCGGCCCACGAACTGTCGACATTGTCGGCACAGCTACGCCCGTAGACTCTGCCTATGGCGCCGGCGGTGCTTTCGTTGTCAGCTTCCCTGGCACGCCATCAACAGCAGAGTGCCCAGGACCCAACTACATTGTGCAAGGTGAGTCGTGTTATGAGCATTAATCGAAGTGCACGACCACTAACGTTGATGCGCAGATTACGCAGTCGATTGGGCGATTGTGCAGACGCAGAAGTGGAACACGTTGTACATCTTGAGCAGGGTGCGACAGCCAGCCGCTGAAAGCATCGATGCATGGATTGATCGCGCTGTGGCTTTCGGATCGAACGCATCCTCGATTATGAAGTTCAACCAGACGGGTTGCGAGTAGGCGTAAGTTGGCAGAGAGGAGCTGAGGATCTCATTTCGGCGACGTTGATGTGAGCTATCGATTTATGCAGAGCCGCGAAAACTTCATCACATAACCATCCAAGAGAAGGGCACATCGACCATCTGAGCACTCAATACTCCAGGGATACATGTATAATAGAGAGAGTATACATTTTCTAGGCCTGATGCTGATCAATGGGTATCTAATTACATCCAAAAAGGACAACAACTCCGGTTACGCCTAGCAAAGCTTATGACACCTGTGCAACTTCAACGCTGCTCTCTTTGCCGCCTTCCTCGCCTTTCTCGACTACCATGTCCAAACCCAGACCTGAATCCACGCTTGTCTCGGAACCGCTTTCGAGCTCAACGACCTCTGGCCGGACTCTGGGCTTAGAGGGGTCCCAAACGACGGGAATATAGCGCTCATCGTCACGATACTGCTCCCACAGCCACAGTTCGGGTTTGCCGTCTCCACGGGGGCACCAATCATCCCACGCGAATGTTTCGATGCCGTTGAACCATCGAATCATTGGCGATTGAAGCTTAGGAAGCCATGCCTTGCGTTCCTCGTCAATTTCGCGTACCATGTCAGCGCCATAACACTTTGGATGACGACGGACAGTGGCAACATTAAAATCGATCGCTTTGATGGCCACGTCATCCGGTGTATCGTCTTTGGGATTGGGCCGAAGGCCGACTACCATGATGTTTCGGGGGCAGAAATCTTCGTTATCGACGCCTGCATGGAATATGATGATGTCGGTATCTATGGCTTTCTTGAGAATGCGAGACCGCATCTGCTCTGGTAATGCTCGCGCATCGATATTGCGCATGGTCTCTCCTCGTACATATTCCATGAGGACTAGTGGAACTTGACGCGTGCGCATCTGAAGCTCACCTCCGTCTCGAATCTCAGTATCAACCGAAATGGTCCAGGTTCCGTAGAACGCAGGTGTGACTTGGCGTGCCGCTGGCGACTCCTGTAACTGATTATAGGCAGCAGCCTCACGACTGTAGTCGGAAAATGCATCGAACATGACATCTTCTTCGAAGCCATACTCGTTCACTTCATTGTAGTAGAGCGGGTCGTAGATTTTGGCGACCGTGTCATTGTCGATGACTACGAGTTGTGCTCCTCGGCTGTGACCGGTGCGGATGACCGCCGTGATAGTCAACGTCTTGAAATCTTCGAGGGATCGACTGGGGCAAAGGTGGCGTGAAAGGCAATACTCCGCCTTTGATAGAGATTTCTGGTTGTTCAGAGGTAGACTCAAAGGGCATCCAGTGTCATATCCTAGGCCAAAAGGCTCCGGAGGCTGATGTCTCGTTGCAGTCGCAGTGAAGCCTACGACATACGGGAATTGCTGCGTAGGTTGAACGGCGATGTCATCTGGACCAAGCGTGCTCGCCGAAGACTCAGGGTTATGTGTTGGTAGTGAAACGGGAGGTTCGATAAAGCAGCTGCAAGCGCTGTTGGCGGCTGCGTCATCGTTGATGACCTGCTCCATTTTGATTTCGACGACTGACATATTTTGGTGTTGTTGGGGTCGGCGGCGTGGCTTGAGAAGAAAGAAGAGAAAGCGTAAGTGATTGAAGCGCAAACGCAAGCGCGCTAAGCCCGACTGACCCTGTCATGTGATATCGCGTTCGCCGGGACTGCCCAGGTGCATTCACCAATATCGTTTCTTGGGGTCAATCTTATAGACCAAAGGTCAAAAAATTCTCGATAAGTAGCCATCAGCTCATAGAAAAGGAGCCTAATACCCGGATGTAGTACCGGATGCTGCGTCTGCGATACCTACCTAACTGCAGCAACGATCGGTAGTCCAGTCGATGTACAGTAAATCTTATAGTTCGAATGGGCTGCTTGAGAACTTTCACTATGTAGCAAAAGAATATCGCGTCATTGAGTGGGTCCTCTAGATGAACTCACGAGCTCAAGCACCTGACACGACAAACGGTCGCACTCTGTTATCTACTTGGTTAAACAGCCTCTTCTCAATCAATGCTCTACTCCCATTTGTTTATCGACCCCAGATACTTCTTCCCACAACTAGCAGACCGAGTCACCCCTCACCGTGAATCCACTAGATGGCCCCTATGACTTCCCCGCCCGCAAGCCGCATTGACTGCTTCAACCAAGGACTACCAGTTCTCGGTGTAGATACTACGACCTACAAGAGCGTGAAGCCGTCCAGCGAATCAACCAGCAAGGCAAAGCCACCTCTGATACTGCGCCATGTCCCTTCCAAGCACTTTTGGGACTTAGCGGACAACACTCTTCGAACGCCTACATTCACCAACCACCTTCAAAGCAATAGCCCTATTGCTACTACTTTCTCAAAGCTTCCGCTTGAGAGTGAAAGCGACGTCGTTTACGCCTCGTTGCTGTACGCTATTTCCCCCATTATGGAAATCCTCCAGGTCTTGTACCCCGATCAGTGGACCATGTACACCGAACTCAACGACAGGGGGGAGATCCTAGAAAATCCGGGCACAAACGGAACAGAGGCGGTAGTACGTTATGATTTGGTCTTCAAAACTACTGCGGGACACCTCAATCCAGGCAAGACCATCGCCATGATCGAATACAAGCGCCGAGGACTCATCCGCTATGACGATTTCATGGAGGTCATAGTCTCCGATGGCGCACTGCCTGCTGAAATCAACAAAGTCAAGATCGACAGCCAGAATCGGAGCAGAAGTCTAAAGACGAACGGAATGTCCTACAGTAAACAAGTGTGTCGATATGCACAAACATCAAAGTGCAAACACGTGGCTCTCTTCAACTGGCAACATTTGGTTCTCTTCGACTTCCATCGCCTGAACTCTGGTACAGATAAGGCCAATCGCAACAAGGGGGAATCATTTACGGCTGGAGACGAAGCGAAGATGTCCTGGGTATATGAACGGGGCGCCAGGGAAGGTGTTATGGAGCCGGGTTCCATCCGGAAGGCATTGCTGGGTTGGCTACTGCAGGCTTTCAATGACTGCGGGAGCCAGTAGATGGCGTTTTCAAAGCTTCTAGGGTGTTGTATGGATACCGCCCGAGAGCTCACGAGAGGCGACGTAGGCGTCCTGGTGTTATGTAGCTTAGCGTATGAGTAGCGATGATACCCCAAATCGATTCAGACGTACTTGAAAGACATGAAAGATATGAGTGACCTTGTTCCACATGACATAACTTAAATCAACACTATCACCCCTTCCTCACATTCTTTGATACGCGCGAAGAGTACATAGATCGTTCTGTCTCGATACATTTCCGGCGCAGTGCGTTGTATCCAGCAGCCTACTTATAAGATCATCATCACGCCCTACTACCAACAGTATCCTTGACAGCTATACATCCGTCCGCGTGCCCCCGTTCTCCAGATCTGCACCCCAATCAATCTTAGGACAAGCCTTCCTATCCCCCGCATCCCTAACAAGCGGCACATACTCCCCCCTCTCCCCAAAACACTCCCACAGCCACTCATTCGTCGTCTCCGGCTTAGGACCAACCCAACCCTTGAACGCAAAATCGCTCATCGCATTCCAGAACCTCGTTATGGGACCCATGATCCTGTCCGGCCATTGCTGTTGTATGTATGCGGAGTCGGAGTCGCCAGGACGGGGTTCGCTGAGCCGAATGACATTGGAGACGTTGAAGTCGATGATGACGATGCGGAGGTCTGGGTCGTCGAGGGAAGATGCGGGTGATGGGGAGACGAGCATGACGTTGCGAGGCGCGATGTCGCGGTGCAGGACACCGGCGGCGAAGATGAGGGACTCGGCTTCTAGAACCTTCTTCATAATCGCCGAGCGAGTTTGTGCAGAGAGCAGATGAGGCTTTATGGCGGTCATAACAGTACCAGGTATGTATTCCATGAGTATGAGCCGAACGTGTCGTGTGTACATCTGGCCGTCCACTAACGTGTCTACGTCAATAGTCCAGCTACCATAGTATTCCGGGACAACGCGTTGCGCCTTAGGATCTCGTCGTAATTCATCGTACGCAGCGGCTTCGCGTGAGTAATCTCCGTCAGATAGAACGACAACATCGCGCTTGTCGTCGAAGATGTCGAACTCGTCATCGTAAAGCGGGTCGTATATCTTTGCTACTATATCTCCGTTGACCAAGACAACTTGCGCACCGTATATGGAGCCGATACGTATTGTGTCGGTGACGGTAAACGTGTAGGACTCTTCGAGCGTACACCCTTCAATTGGCGGTCGGATGAGGCAGTAGTTGAGTTGCGGTAGTCTGAAGTGACCTGTCTTGAAAGGCGGCCATGGAGTGTTGTAACCGTTACCGAAAGGCGCGGGTGGTACGTGACGGTGGGCAGTGAACGTGGCGCCTATCGTGTAGGGCATAGCAGGTCTACTGTCGGTCTTGTTGTACGGGTGGTTCAAGTTCTCGAGATCGTTGCTCTTCTGGCTCCCCATACGACTTTCCGATTTATCAGGAGCGATGTCAAGCGACCTAGAACTGAGGGCTGAGGGCGTCATACGGCAGGAAGAGCTCGTCGTCATGGCGGCTGGCGACTGGTATCTGGGGCGTTTGGCCTGAGAGTGTAGAAGTATCCGTAAACCACACTAGAGCAATCGGCCATACGCCATTTTTGCAAACGAGGGTGAGCAGTGAAAGCGCGTTTCGTGGCTCCTGATGAAAGTGAATCGACCCTAAAGACACATGTGAAGCCATCTTTGGCGAACGAAACCCTCATCTGACCGTGATACCGAGATACCAAGCATAGAATCTCCCTGGATTGTTAGTATCAAGTGTTCGAGGAAACTTGAACGAAGCGAATGGCATTCCAGAAATCGGCAGACTTTGAATGATACCTCGTGGATTCGTCGCGAGCTCATCCGAAAACCGGACGTTGCCCTACAGTAGTAGCATCTGACTTGGGCACCTGAGCGACAGGCTGTTGAGCTACAAGCTGAGGACCCCATTGCTGAACCGGCTGCGAACCCCACTGCTGGTAAGGTTGCGGCGCCCATTGCTGTGGCATCGGCTGACCCATCCATTGCTGTCCCGGCTGCTGAACCCACTGCTGTGCCTGTGGTCCAGTATAAGGCGACGGCGGACCAGGTGGCTGCATCTCATACACGCTCGCAAACGCCGCATACCTCCCCTTGCCGCCAAACGCCCACTTAACCCCTCCTCTCGCCCGTACAAGAACCCACAAACTGACAAAGACCGACAACGCAGCGACAGCCATGGCGATCACCATGAACCTCATCGCCTTCGCAGTTCCACATGCCGTTCCTGCCCAATCTTCCTCGGGGAAGAACTTGTCGATCTGACACGCCCACGTCTCTCTTGTATGCTCCTGGTCATCTTGGCCAACGTCTTCGTAGCCCCGCCAGCTCTTGTCGCTACTCTGGACAGAAGTGACGTATCCAAACACACCCAGACTAGCACCCACCATCACGATGTTGCTAACGAAGATGATCCACGTCCACATCCTCTCATGACCTGCCGTGCCCTCTGTCCTTCTCAACTGCCATATTCCTGCCGCGCTGAGCAGACTGACTAGATATGCTAGCAGGCATAACGCGAGTATGGTGATCGTGGGCGCGTTGTTGGTATCAATCGTCACGGTGGTGTCGTTCGAGCCGGGGCGGGACAAAGTTATCTGGGACGCGCCGCTGCGTACGTCGCGACCGAGACCGTCGTTGAAGTAGTTTTTGGATATGCGCTCGAGGATGTTGGTCAGGGCGGCGAGGCCGAAGAGGAAGAGAAGGGGCGGTAGGAGGAGGAGCAAGATGCGGATGCCGTTGGGGTTGCGCATTTTGGCGTCCAGGAAGTCGCGATGTGCCGGTACGGGTCGTAAGTGAGTGGGAGATGTCCCTTGCTCTCATTCAAAGGTGCGCAAGGTGACAGTCGAGCCATCGTGACTCGTCGGTGGCGGTCTGGGTCGAGGCGTGGACGCCTGAAAGCAGCGTTGGGGGCGAGCCTTGCTTGGCAAACCTACACGTCTGAGAATAGCCTTGCATCTTGTATTTAGCGAAGCGACGCTGGATCAGAACGAGTCGCGTACACAATGACACTATGTCGCCAGAAGTCGCGTGTTCCACCGTGGCATCGCGACACGCGTTCACGTGGTTGTGGGGCAGCATCCCGTCGGGCCGTCTACCGGGGCATTCAACACAACGATATACAAAAGCGATAACAGAGAGATATTATCTATTGAGTGTACTCCGTCAAAGGCAGAGAAACAGGCATTCTATATGCCAAAGATCTACAAAAGTACCAGCCCAGCGATCTAAGAAACAATTACAAGTATATGCTCTAGCGTCCCATGAAATCCAAACGCCGTGTATGCAAAATAGCTCCCGCTCATTGGAACTATTGCGGTGCGCCGATAGCCTGCAGCTTCGCCAGCTCAAAGTAAACGCCCTTCTTGGCAACCAAGTCCTCGTGTCTGCCCTTCTCTACGATCTTGCCTTGGTCAAAGACGTAGATGACGTCGGCGTGTTGGATTGTGCTCAAGCGATGCGCGATCGCGATTGTTGTGCGGCCTTGTGCGGCGGAGTCGAGGGCGGCTTGTACGACGCGTTCGGAGGTGGAGTCGAGGGCGGATGTGGCTTCGTCGAGAAGGAGGACTTTGGGGTCACGGAGGAGGGCGCGGGCGATGGCTATGCGTTGGCGCTAGAAGACATGTTAGTGGGGTTGAGGGACATGAAAGCGTAGGAAAACGTACCTGGCCACCAGATAGTAGGGCACCCTTTGCACCGACCAGCGTGTTGAAACCATCAGGTAACGATGTGATGAAGTCGTAAATGTTGGCGTCTTTGCACGCTTGTATTACCGCGTCATCGCCCAATTCCTCCTTGTCGGCAAGGATGTTCTCTCGGATCGTGCCAGTGTAGAGCGTTGTTTCTTGACTGACAATGGCTAATTGCGATCGGTAGTCTTGAAGGTTGTAGTCCTTGACCTCCACGTCATCGACGAGTACGGCACCACTTGTCGGATCGTAAAACCTTTCGAGCAGCTGCATCACCGTCGACTTGCCAGAACCGGATGCGCCGACAAGGGCGATGAACTGACCAGGTTCAGCAGAAAGACTGATACCGCGCAAAACACGGTGATCTGGTCTTCCAGGGTAGGTGAAACGGATATCCTGTAGCTCAATCTTGCCGCTCAACCTGTCAATATTCTTGCCCTCAGTCGACCAGTTGTCGATCTTAGGAACGCGGTTCAGGAATGACTTGAGAAGCTTCGCTGCATCCCTGGCCTCGCCCATATCGGGAGCGAAGGAGAAGATGGCACCGGCCGACTGAGCACCGTTGATGATGGAAGAGTAGACAACGAAGAACTGCAGAACAGTGTACTCCTGGTTGAACAACAGGCGTCCTCCGTACCAGAACACAAGGGCGAAAATGAACATGCTGAGACCCTGGGACGTCGCGAAGAGCACTGCTGACACGTTTGTGAACTTGAAGTAACCCTTGCCCTGGTCTGCGAGCTTGGTGTGGTAGGTGGACAAGAGATGCTTCTCTAGCGAGAGAGAGGCCACGGTACGGATAGAAGAAGCGGCCTCACAAGCGAAGCTGGCGGCATCCGATGTCTCCTTGGTTCGTTTCTCCATGCGAGTGAGAGCATAGAATCGGAAGTAACCACAGGCGATGACAAGTGGAATGGTTGCAGAGCACACGAGCGCCAGCTTCCACCCGAAAGAGCAACCCACAATGAAGGCGACAAGGATGGAAGCGGCGGCGCTGACAATCGTTCCGAGAGTAGAGCCACTGAGACCGGCGAGACGATTCGCTTCTGAAGACAGGAAGTTGCTCAGCGCACCAGAAGTGACCGTGTCACCATCGAAGAACTCCATGTCTTGACGAAGCATGGCGCCGAAAGCGCGCGTTCGCACGCTGCCAACAAGCCTGGCAGATCCTTTCGACAGTGTCATACCCTGTACGTAGTAGAAGAAGCCGATGACGATTCCGAGCATGAGGAACATGCCACACCAGAAGTTGACGTTGAGTCCACCGAGAGATGTTCCGGGAGATAGAAGCGAGTTGATGGAATTACCCAGGAAGATGGCTTGGATGGCAGGGTTGCAACCAGCAAGGAAACTGAACACCAGTCCAATGGTCATGGTAGAGTGCTCTCCTTTGTTCATCTCCCAAGCGAACTTGACCAACTCCCAGGTGCCGTATTCCCTGTCTTTCTCATCCTTCTTGGCATGGAATTCTGAAGGAGCGGATGTAACAGTGCGCATCAAAGCAAGCTTCTCTTCATCGACAACGCCTTCCGTTTTACTCTCAGGGTCGTCAAGAAGCGTCATCCTGTTGGCGGGGCTGATTTTTGCGGTAAGCTCCTGAGCCTGTACTAGACTTGCGTACACAGCTCCGCGGTTGATGAGCTCTTGATGAGTGCCTTGCTCGACGATTCTGCCCAAAGCCATGACCACAATGTTATCGGCCTTCTTGATCGTGGAGAGTCGGTGAGCGATGACGATAGTAGTGCGTCCCTGCGACGCGCGGTCGAGAGCTTCCTGGACTGCGCTCTCGGAGCGGGTATCAAGGGCTGCGGTAGCTTCATCTAGGAGGAGGATCTTTGGGTCGGATACAATAGCACGAGCAATCGCGACACGTTGCTTCTGGCCACCAGACAACAAGCCACCTCGCTCTCCAACCTTGGTTTGGTATTTCTCCGGAAGATCCATAATGAAGTCGTGAGCGTTTGCAATCTTGGCAGCCTTCTCGATAAGCTCCATCTTCTTCTCGTCCGATACGTCTGCGTATTCCGTGTTGACTAGGCCGTGGAGAATGCTCTCGTAGATGGTTGTGCTGAACAGAACGGGTTCTTGGCTCACGATAGCCATGTGTTGCCTCAACCAGCGTAGGTTGAGTGTAGTGATGTCTCTTCCGTCCAAGAATATTTGGCCTTCCATCGGAAGGTAGAAGCGTTCCAGTAGTCCAACAATGGTTGATTTTCCAGATCCAGATGCACCAACGAGCGCAATCATCTTGCCCGATGGAACGTCCAGGTTGAAATCCGATAACACGACAGTATCCGGTCTGGATGGGTATACGTGCTTGAGGTTCCTGAACTCGAGGTTGCCAACAAAGTCATCGGGTACAATGCCTGCATCCGTTTCCGGGTCGATGGGGGAATTTCGTTCGATCGTGTTGAAAACCTTCGTAGCTGCCGCAGTAGCTCCACCGAAAGCCTGAATGTGCGGCAAGTTCTGTCCGATGGAGAAGCCAGCAATCATGAGCGCCATGACTACAGTCAGGATGTTGGAAACGCCGAGGTCTCCATCATCGAGGAATCGTTTACCTTGCCAAAATGCAAGGCCGTACTGGAGGTTTAGCACACCCATCATGCCAGCAATCATCATAGAAAGCCAGAACTTGGCCTTGAAGTCCAGCTTCGTAGCGCGGTCTACGAAAGCCTTGTACTTCTCCTCGAGTCGTTTCTGGGTGCCGTATGCAGCGACGTTGCGAGCTGAAGACAGCACTTCCTCGGCCAGGGAAGCAGCAGTGGCGTACTCGTCGATGGAGAGTGTCTGAGCTTTCTTCATCATAGTACCGTTGACACCCATCATCATGATGAGGGCTAATGTTGCCGCAAGCATGATTAGAGAGAGCTTCCAGGACCGTAT